CAACCAAATCACGGAATGCATCGCTAAGGAGACAGTGATATATAAAAAGTGGTAGTCCAGCTGCCAACCTTTCTTAGTTCGTTTTAATTTGGTGATATTCTCGTAAATAATGATTTCTGGCTCCGAATATGTCTGTCGCATGATGGGCGAAAGCTCAGCACGGAATCATCGGTCATAGAAAAGTGAGCCGAGGCCTTAATGACACAATTGTAAGGGAAAAATCAAATACAACCCTCCTGCGTCATTCGGTGGAGAAAATCTACGAAGCCCTTCAACGAGATGGAGGGTGCTCCAGTACTAATCATTTAAGGAACTTTTTTTAAAACCAAGCTTCTCTCCATATCAGGGCTAACACGTGGTAGATCGTGAACCAATGGCCAAGTAACGTACTTTAAGTATAATAGATGGCGCTCGTCCTAGTGAGAATGTGCTTGCACTTTTTACTTGGCCTCGAATGCAATGTTTAAAATAGGGGATAGCTAAAACCTGAGGTGCATCTACTGATTGGTGTTTGGCGAAGACCACACACTGACCATGAAATCAGTTTTTCAACATCGATGAAACAAAATGTATTTAAAATAGAACTTCAAATAGCTTTAATTTTACTGCAGATTAGGTCACAGATGAGACAATAAGCTTGTGAGCAAATAAGCATCCATGTGATTTTCAATCCGACCGCGTAGGATAGAAGAACCAACGCGCAGGGATATCGCCTTTAAGGCTTCCTCAGCCGCGCAAATAGCCAAAGACAGACTACTCGAAATGGACCAGGCTAGGACAGGAAGAAGCGTGTCCAGATGGCGCTTGAAATGCAATTTGTCAAGGCTCGTTGCGGCAGTTGCAATCATGCGGCAAGCTGAAAATAAAAATTAATGATTTTTTGTGGCTTTTGCTTTGAGACATTGCTACATAGCGACATAGCTGTTTGCGAGCAAAATAAAACGAGAAAAACTGTAGCTCATATAATCGTTGATTCAGCCAAAGTTGTGAATGAAAAATCTAATTTTCAAGGTTTCCATGAGAGATAATAGGGACAATTTTTGTTATTACGAAAAATTTACAGCAGCAAATTACAATAAAACAATTCCAAAATTAATTTTTTCAAGTACAAAGTAAGAAGCTTACTTAAATTAAAACAGGGATACTAGATATATAACCAACATACCGGTCTCAAGAAGATAAGTATGATGAGGATAGTGTGTTTTTGAGACAGATTCAACAACTTTAGTAACTAAATCATCAGGAAAGAAGGACGGCGCATGAGCTGCTAATTCTGACATCAAGCGAATCGCTCCATCAGCAATTTCCCAAGGTTCTGCGATGCGTTGAAATAATCCACTATGGCAACCCCCGCCTTTGCGACCTTGTGGAAAAAATAAGTGATGAACAAAGTACATATTACATGGGCAAGTTAATGATGAGTGCAAAAGCGCATGTAAGGCCTAATAGAGGTAAGCACAAACGCGAGAGTTGATAGCTACTGCCAAACAGGCCCTAGAGATTGAAAAACAGGTCAAACCTATTGGAAAAAACATTACCATTTACCGAATAATTTAAATTAATGAAGGTGAGCTTATCAATTCGCATTTTGTTCAGATGTGCCAGCTCGAAGGCGAAAATTTGCAGGTAAGCCGTGGTGAGTCCTGTAA